TGACCCCTTTAAAATATATTCTTAAAGGAACAGTTCACCTAAAAATGTAAATTTGCTGAAAATCTACTCACCCTCAGACCATCCAAGTTGTAGAGGAGTTTGTTTCTTCATCAGAACAGATTTGGAGAAATTTAGCATTACATCACTTGCTCACCAATGGACCCTCTCTGCAGTGAATGGGTGCCGTCAGAATGAGAGCCTAAACAGCTGATAAAAACCACGATAATCCACATGACTCCAGTCCATTAATTAACGTCTTATGAAGTGAAAAGCTGTTTGTTATAATATATATATTAAAAAAATCAGAAAGGTGTTTTAACTTTATTTCTGTCAGTAATACATAATAACGTGATTAGAACTGTTTTGGACTCCTTTTGCTTGTAAACAGTGCTTGATCTGTGGATATTTCTCTCCCGATTCAGATTAGATGACTTTTTAATTGGAAAAAGCAATATGTATAGAGGACTTGTATTTTAGCCAGAAGCATGGTTTAAAGTTAAAAAGCCTAAAAGATGGATTTCTTTCTTACAAACATTGTCGTGTGGATTGCTTGTGGATAATTGTGATGCTTTTATCAGCTGTTTGGACTCAGCTGTTCTAACGGCACCCATTCACTACAGAGGATCCATTGGCGATCAAGTGATGTAATTCTAAATTTCTTCAAATCTGTTCTCATGAAGAAACTCATCGACATCTTGGATGGCCTGAGGGTGAGTACATTTGAGCAAGTTTTTATTTTTGAGTGAACAATTCCTTTAAAGATAGAGTACCACTTTAATTAATAGCATTTAGAAGAAGAGTTATTGTGTTTTTGTGATTCTTATGCATATGTTTTTATGTTAAGGCCCAAAGCTCCCCATCCTGCATCTGCTAACTCAAACCCAAACAGGTTTGCACAGAAGTTTGGGAGTACAGATCGCTGTCCTCGCTGCTCTAAAGCAGTTTATGCAGCAGAGAAAGTAATGGGCGCTGGAAAGGTAAAACTACAGCTAAAATTAAAGCAAGAAGCTGACTCAGAGTTTTGATACATTATACTCTGATATAATATGAAATATATTAATATTAAACCATTCAAACTGAAATAAGCATATTTTGAGAACGTGTTCCCTTCTCAGCACTTCTGCAATATGCTGCTGTCACAGGTCAGCGCTGTGTAAAGCACATTTCACCGTAGTAATTTATCAGACTGTGACTGGTTCTGATCCAACAGCCCTGGCACAAAACCTGCTTCCGCTGTTTATTGTGTGGGAAGAGCCTGGAATCCACCACGGTGACGGATAAAGATGGAGAGCTCTATTGTAAAGGTACAATCCATCAAATGAGACCGCAAGATCTCTGCCAGCTCAATCTCATTAATATCACTTAACCAATCAATAGATACTCTGTTTTGAGTTTATTTCTCACAATTGTGCAATTATCTCTCGCAATTCTGAGAACAAAAAGGTTGCAAGTACCATTTTTATGTTTGTTCCATGGCAGAAATGGGCTTCCATAGAAATTTGCATTAAAAATTAAAATAAAAAAATAACACCGTGTGTAAAATATTGCTGAACACTACATTCTCAGAAAAAAAAGGTACAACGCTGTCACTGGGTTGGTATTCTAGGGTACAAAATCTAAAAGTTACATCTTTGTACCTTATTTACCTCTAGATGGTATCGTCCCAGTCTTTTATCATACCTTATATCCTGAGAGTAATTTAATATTAACCATGACGTATTTTATTATTCAGAACTAAGATTTACCAACAGATTTCTCTTTTTTATGTATTTTTTCCCCAGTTGGCTATGCCAAAAACTTCGGTCCAAAGGGGTGTGGCCTGGGGAATCTGGGTGTGGTCGAGGAGAATGATTGACAAGTTTAGTCCAACCCAATGCAGCTGCTTTTTCACTGCACACAACATCGGTTAAGGCTAGAAGGGATACGCATGGCGCTACTGGGCATGCGCACATCAATATAGCGTAATTTTGTCACAATGTACAACAATAATGACTATTTTTTCATTATTGTAATGGGTAGGTTTAGGGTTAGGGTAGGTGTAGACGTTGATAACACACGATCTAATAGGTAGAAATTTCATTGTTCGTTTCCGGTCGGAAATGATCTTATCCCTTCATGTTAAGTTGGAACAGGGGTATTTTAAGATTTAAAAAATGCACACACTTCAGCTTTAAACTTAATCTTAAATTGATGCTATGCTGCATAAAACAAATGTATTACAATAATAAGAATCCTATCTACTGTAACTGTATATCATATGTCACAGCATAAAAACAAAAATAAAGAGTAAATAAAGGATAAAAGACGTGTCATTCAACATTGATTCAAAGATGATTAGTTACTAGGAAAATAAACGTATAAAATCAGCATATTAGAAGGATTTCTGAAGTATCATGTGACACTGAAGACTTGTGTAATGATGCTGAAAATTCCGTTTTGCCTCACAGGAATACATTATATTACAAAATTAATAAAATAGAAAACATTTATTATAAATCAAAATAATATTTAACAATAATTCAGTTTTTGCTGTATTTTTTTTATCAAGTTGCAACACTAATAAGCATAAGAGATTTATTTCAAAAACTATATATTTATACTTTTTATATACATATTTATATATATATCTCCAAAACTCCTTCACTACTAGCTATTAGCTAATAGTGGCTGTAATGTAAGTTACTCAATAATGTTTTGTTGTTGTTAGATCAGCAACAAATATACCTTTACCTGGAGAAACACTCTGACCAGCAAATTACAAAAGTGGTCTGATTTATTCCAAAGCACAGTAGGATTCAAGAACAGCATTTTCCCCTTATTATGACATACTGCGTAATAAAGTATAATGAACAGAATTGAGAACTGCAGTAAAGAGCGAGCTGATGCTATCAGGCACAGCCCCTGTACTACACAGTGGTTATTAAAGGCATAAATAAAAGATCAACTGCCTTTGAAAACATTACTGATTAAAGGTAACATGATACTAATAGCTAATAAAATATATTAAATGATATGATTCGTCTTGCACGTATAATGCTATAAATGTTGCGGTTGTAATGCATCTGATCGTAGCGTGAAGTCACTTCAGATGCGTTTTGACTCATCAAAATTTCTCTAAATTTGCATTTGTTTTGTATAAAATGATTTACAAATCTTTTCACAAAGAGCATACATATAGTGGTCACTTCCTGTAAAAGGACTTGGAGTAAAAACCAAAGCGTGATCTTACCGTACCTTACAAAATATTTCTGCTCAAAATATATCAGTGTGCTTATAAACATGTATTCATCCTTATGTACAACTTAAGCTGTAAGGCAAAATCTAACCTTGAACGCACATCACATATACTATATTTCCCTCAAATACAAAAGGTGGATGTTCTTGCAAATAGAACAAACGATTATCCAAATGAGCATTCGGTCTGTTCTGCGTTTCCATCATTAAAAAGGCATTAAAATCAAACCAATGGCTCCCGAACTGGGGACGTCGCTCTCCCTGAGTGGGTGACTGATCGCTGGGGATCAAACAGCATCGGGGCCGCTGAACATGGGATGGTCTCTGCTGAGACCCATGGGGAAATACAATGGGGTAAACTGGAAGTAGGCGGGTTACACAGACCAAAACAAAGACAGACATTCCGACACAGAACGCACATGTATCATTGTTTTTCAGATAAACAAGTATGTTAACTTAGAATTTTTCTTAAATATCTGCAAACATATTACGGTATTTTATGCTTTAGCAGAGTCAAAAACGTACATACAGCACCTTTAACAATACCAACACTTTTAATAATTGTAATATAATTTCATAATTAAGACCGCTTATCAGTGTTCGCTCTTTGTTCAAAGCTGCTGTTATATTTTTGTAGAAAGAGGCCGCAAGATATTGATGACTAATACTTATGTTTTTCTTTATAACAAGTATTATTGGTCTGATTAAGTTGATATTAGGCAAATAAAACATCAGGGCATAATTCAAAAAGCATACTAGATTTCTATGTACTACCTACATATCATAATTATTTAAACATGATTGATTTCATGTTATGCAAAATTCTAGGCAAAGGAGTGAAGAAATGCCATTGTATCCATCATCAGCCATAGCACAAAAATAATGACAGCTGTTCACTCCGGTTCTTATGTCCTAATAGGGCTGTCCGATTTTTTTTAGAATTTCGAATATTCGTCGAATTTAAAATAAAAATCCACATTGCATTCGAATTTTAGGTGTGCGTTAAGGAGGCTTATCAGTGGCGCACGAGATGCGATGACGAAGTAAGTGTCCTTGCATTATAATGTTTTTGTTAGCCTATCCAGTTGAAGCCACTAGATGCGGCGCTGCTGCGTTGTTCATTTAAAAATATAGAGGAAAAAGAGAACATCACTGCGGAGAAGATCTTGTTTACATCAAAACCCGAAACCAAGCCGTTCACACAGAACGCATATTTCACGCATTTTCTAGACGGACATCTATTACTGTTGCACTCGCGTCTCGCACAAAGGAGCCGCATGTTTAGAAAGCCATGTAAAATTAATGCAAGTTTAACTTTGAAAAAAACATATATTGAGACTTTATGGTGGGGTTTTCCCCGCATCCTACTGCATCTCATGTTTTTAAATGAAAATGTACTGATTGTGTGATCGGCTTTCCGCCATTTGTATTAAACTATGCATACATACATGATGCTGTTTTGTTTAAGCAACTTAATTAATTATAATTGGTTTATAAACATTAGTTTAAACATTATGCACTTTTTTTTCACAGATAGTCATGTTATCTTATGCTTTGAATGATGCTCCCTCTTGTGCCTCAGGAGAGAAGCCAAAAGCTTTTCTTCACCCTAACTGAAATTATGCATTTTAAATTCGAATTTAGATAATATTTAAGTACAAAATTCGAATTTAGTTTTGTCAGCCGTTTTGACAGCCCTATGTCCTAATATACAGTATTTGGCCAGAAGTGCTGATATTTAGCTGGGACGTTTCACAGTTTATAGTTTATATCATGTCATTCACCTGGTAGAGCTGCACCAAAAGCAGGATGGAGGCCCAGGAAGCGTTTAAGAAAGCAAAGCAGAAGATGTAGAGCACCCAGGGAGAGCAGCCTGTCAGAGTAGTCACCACCCCCCAGACGCCCTCCTCTGTGTAGTGCGGTGGACAGTGTTTGGACCAGTCTACACACAGAAAAACACATACTTTTTTAAATGAACATTTTCTTCTGGCGAGACTAAAAATGCAAGATGTAGCCTAGTATTTTACAGACATCAACTATTCATTTTGGAACTAGTCATAGTGAGCATAAGAGACTTCATTCAAAAACAAAAATTGTAGTGACCACAAACTTTTGAATGCTAGTGTACATTCGAGTTCAAGTGGTAACTTACACATGATACTGCCGTAGAACATCCATATGCAGAGAAAGTTCAGAGCAACCAGGAAAAGCACAAAGTATGGGTGATTTCTGGCCCCTGTAAAAGGAGGTTAGCATGAGCGACTCATAATGACAGCAAAAAATGAGAGAAAAGGAAGTCTATGCTATAAAACATCCTAGTTCGTGCATGTTACCTATGCAGCCATTGATCCAAATGGAGTGGTGGTCTTGTTTAGCGACACAAGTGTTACAGGAAAAGCAGTGATTTGCTCTCATTGGCTTCCTCATCTGCAAAAACAAGGTTTTTAAGCTCTATAGGAAACTCTGAAAAACGTTTACAATACAGTATGTTCCTGTTAGTACTACGGTAAAACCATGCAGATTTCCAAACCATGGCCTTGCGGTTAGCGCACACGCTTGGACTCATTCGGTCATAATGCTTTGAGAAGGTAACAAGCCTGAATTTATCTTGCATCATTTCCCAATCCAGTTTTCTTTTCATCATTTGCCCTCTCTATCTTGCCACTAAAAAGAGATAACTTACCATACATGAAGTACAAAATATCCTGGGATCCAGACAGCCTGCCTCTGCCAGAACCACAATATTCTACAGAGAGATAGATGAACCTGTTAAAGTCGCCCAAGAGACTAGAAAGAGTGTAAGAACCTAAAGGAATCGTTAGGTCAAACAATGCAACTGACTTTTCCAATTCAAATGGTCAATATAAATCAGAAAACGCTGATTGCAACAAGCATATATGAATAACAAGAATATTAAAATAATTTTTTATTTAAACATATATACTAAAAAAAAAAATTTTTTTATAAAGTTATTCTGTTCACAGATTTGTATTATGTGCAATGGCACTGTAAATTGTATCAAGCCCTTCATACAGAGACATACTGTCATGATCTGTCTCTTTAAAAATAAATAAATAAATGATCACCAAATCAAAATCAAATCATTAATTCATTTCAATACCAAACAATTTATAAAGCATTTTTTCTGAGAATGTGCAGTATTCATAATTATATACTTAAAAAAATCTGAAATTATAAAACATTTATGTAATATTTAAATATATGTTTATATTTAAATGTAAAAAAAAATACAAAAATCAGTATCATTAAAAAAAACATTAAAATCAGTACAACAAAATGATTTTAATGTTTTTGTTTTACTATTATAAAACTATACTATACTATAATTTTCATATACATACATATAATACATAATACAATAACAGAAATACAATAACAAATATAGGATCTACATTGTCTTGTAATACAGTTCCATTCGTCGCACCCAAAGAAAAACTGCAGTGCTTTACAACTATAGGACAAGAAGAGCTAAATAAACTTATCACTGCATCTAAACCAACAACATGTTTATTAGATCCTGTACCCACTAAATTACTGAAAGACTTGTTACCTGTAGCAGAAGAACTGCTTCTCAATATTATTAACTCGTCGTTGTCTTTAGGTCACGTCCCAAAACCATTCAAGCTGGCGGTTATTAAGCCTCTTATTAAGAAACCACAACTAGATCCTAGTGAACTGTCAAATTACAGACCCATTTCAAATCTTCCTTTTATGTCTAAAATTTTTGAATAAACATTTCATTACACCAAATAATGTTCTTTTTAGCAATATCACATAACAATTTAAAATGACAAATTACTTGCTTCTTGCGTCAGACCAAGGCTGTGTCTCATTGCTAGTTTTATTTGATCTTAGTGCTGCTTTTGACACTATAGATCATGACATACTCACAGATCGAATGCAACTATACGGGTATTCAAGGACAGGCTTTAAGATGATTTAGATCCTACCTGTCCGATCGTTATCACTTTGTCTATTTAAATGGTGAGTCATCTCAATTTTCGGCAGAAAAGTATGGAGTGCCGCAAGGATCTGTCTTAGGCCCTCTGCTATTTTCAATATACATGTTGCCCCTTGGTAATATTAAAGACCAGATGAAACTTCTAAATTGTCTAAGCTAACAGAGTGTGTTAAAAATTTAAAAGATTGGATGACCAATAATTTTCTCTTATTAAATTCGGATAAGACAGAGATTTACAATTTGCATCTAGACAGATGTACTTTTACTTCCTCTACAGTCAAAAATTTGGGTGTTATATTAGACAGCAACTTGTCTTTTGAAAATCATATTTCCCATGTTACAAAAACAGCATTCTTTCATCTTAGAAACACTGCCAAGCTACGAAACACGTTACCTGTTTCTGATGCAGAAAAGCTAGTTCATGCATTCATGACCTCTAGACTGGACTATTGTAATGCACTGCTAGCTGGTTGTGGACTATTGTAATGCACTGCTAGGTGGTTGTCCTGCATCTTCAATAAACAAGCTACAGGTAGTCCAAAATGAGTCCTTACCTGGTCAAGAAAATATGATCATATTACCCCAATTTTACAGTCTCTGCACTGGCTACCTATTAAGTTTCGCATCAGTTACAAAATATTACTACTTACTTATAAGGCCCTTAATGGTCTAGCTCCTGCGTACCTAACTAGTCTTCTACCACGCTACAATCCATCACGCTGCCTAAGGTTGCAAATCTCTGGACTTTTGGTAGTACCTAGGATAGCAAAGTCCACTGAAGGCGGTAGAGCTTCTTTTTAGCCAAGCATTCACATAATGTATCTCGTAATCAAATGCACATTTTAATTCTTTTGCTTGGGTTGAACACATCATCTTTGCTTGGTTGGAACAGCTGCTATACTAATTTAGTCTCTATCTGCTTCTCCGTTTCTGCCACGGGACTTGCATCCCGAGGCAACTAGAAATTACACAAGCTTCAGTCTGGATCCAACCCTTATGAATATTTGAGATGACCGAACACCTGAGAAGAGATGATGCCAACCCCCCAGAAGACCTCAGATGATGCTAACCCTGGAACAACATATAAAGCTACCAAATTTTGCTTAATCGCAATGTATCATCGCAATCGCAAAGTTTAATCGCAACATATAATCAATGTAGTTAATAATTCACCGTCTGTTTGATTACGTGTAATTTGTAATTAACTGCATGATTCGTACTGTACATTTCTGCCATAGTCACCACTAATAACCTACTCCTAAATGTAATGTAGAAACTTAATATTTTCAGTAAAGCTGCTTTGCAGCAATTGGTATCGTGAAAAGCACTATACAAATAAACTTGAATTGAATAATAAAATATAGGATTCTTTTTTCAGAATACATATTACCAAAATAAAATTTGTTTCTTGATTTCTTAGTGCAATATAGTGTGCATAGTTTGTTGCAAATATTATATTTTTATGTATAATATACAAAGGAATAAATTTGTTGTAAAAATGTATAAGAGTGATATTGTAGAAACAGGGCCTTTTAAATACATATGTATGACAAGTCAGTGAAGTCAGTGTGTTTGTTGATGCTTAAACCTTGAAGTGAGGTTGATCACAGCTATGATGCAGGCCAGCAGCACACCCTTAAGTAACCAGGACTCCGTCTTCATGTCTAATATGGAACCGATGGCTCCGACCACAACAACACTGAACACACACAGCAGACAGACCTGAAACACACACGGTCACACACTCTGAATAGTGAAGTCTTTTCAACTGCAATGAAAAATCAGGGTTACAGCAGAGGAATGTGGGTCAGAGAATAAGTGGAATGTTATTTTCTTGTTTAATAAAAGCCTAAAAATGGAGAATTCTCCAGGGCCAAACACACATTATGTGAGAAATTGGCTGCTTTTGTTTCTGAAAGCTTAATTCAAGGTTAAATACAGCCCTGGGATTTCAAGTACTTGCCTCACATCTTCTTTAATAAGGTTAGTGAGAGCGGTGTGTGTGTGTGTGTGTGTGTTTGGGTGTATGTCTGTGTTTGTGAGTTTGCCTGGAACAATTGTTACAAATCCAACCATTAAAACTAAATATACATTATACATATCCATTGCACAAATGCATCTAATTTACCATTAGGTTAAATTAGAGGTTTGTTCAAATTCAAAATACCTGAATTATCTGAATTATAATTATAACTCCAGATTTTAGTGCATTAAATCTACATTACAATGTAAAACTTTTTTCTAATCTGAACTTGTTGGCCTGAGTGTGTCTGAGCACGAGTGTACCTTGTATCTGTTGAGCAGTTTGAGACACGTAGAGTTGGCTTTCATGCGCTCTGTCTTCACCACAAGACCTCAGATGATGCTAACCCTGGAACAACATATAAAGCTACCAAATTTTGCTTAATCGCAATGTATCATCGCAATCGCAAAGTTTAATCGCAACATATAATCAATGTAGTTAATAATTCACCGTCTGTTTGATTACGTGTAATTTGTAATTAACTGCATGATTCGTACTGTACATTTCTGCCATAGTCACCACTAATAACCTACTCCTAAATGTAATGTAGAAACTTAATATTTTCAGTAAAGCTGCTTTGCAGCAATTGGTATCGTGAAAAGCACTATACAAATAAACTTGAATTGAATAATAAAATATAGGATTCTTTTTTCAGAATACATATTACCAAAATAAAATTTGTTTTTTGATTTCTTAGTGCAATATAGTGTGCATAGTTTGTTGCAAATATTATATTTTTATGTATAATATACAAAGGAATAAATTTGTTGTAAAAATGTATAAGAGTGATATTGTAGAAACAGGGCCTTTTAAATACATATGTATGACAAGTCAGTGAAGTCAGTGTGTTTGTTGATGCTTAAACCTTGAAGTGAGGTTGATCACAGCTATGATGCAGGCCAGCAGCACACCCTTAAGTAACCAGGACTCCGTCTTCATGTCTAATATGGAACCGATGGCTCCGACCACAACAACACTGAACACACACAGCAGACAGACCTGAAACACACACGGTCACACACTCTGAATAGTGAAGTCTTTTCAACTGCAATGAAAAATCAGGGTTACAGCAGAGGAATGTGGGTCAGAGAATAAGTGGAATGTTATTTTCTTGTTTAATAAAAGCCTAAAAATGGAGAATTCTCCAGGGCCAAACACACATTATGTGAGAAATTGGCTGCTTTTGTTTCTGAAAGCTTAATTCAAGGTTAAATACAGCCCTGGGATTTCAAGTACTTGCCTCACATCTTCTTTAATAAGGTTAGTGAGAGCGGTGTGTGTGTGTGTGTGTGTTTGGGTGTATGTCTGTGTTTGTGAGTTTGCCTGGAACAATTGTTACAAATCCAACCATTAAAACTAAATATACATTATACATATCCATTGCACAAATGCATCTAATTTACCATTAGGTTAAATTAGAGGTTTGTTCAAATTCAAAATACCTGAATTATCTGAATTATAATTATAACTCCAGATTTTAGTGCATTAAATCTACATTACAATGTAAAACTTTTTTCTAATCTGAACTTGTTGGCCTGAGTGTGTCTGAGCACGAGTGTACCTTGTATCTGTTGAGCAGTTTGAGACACGTAGAGTTGGCTTTCATGCGCTCTGTCTTCACCACACTGAGCATGTGAATGAGCAGAGGGCTGTGCACCTGGTGTGCCAGGTCAATGGGAGTGTGACCCTGAAAATAACACAAAAACATCACTTAAAAAGAACACAAAGTAAAGATCAACTTTCAGACTGAACGGCCAGGTGAGTGACGGGCATTGCTTTGGAACCAGTTTTACAGCTATGGAGAAACACTGATCTTTTGTTCTGCCAGTTTAAACTGTATCATTATGGCTTTGGTATTAGTGACTGGACATGTAATAGCAAGCAATAAGATGTTTAAAACTTATAAATGGAATGAATGTGAGCACTTTCAGAAAGTACACAGGTTTTAAGGCCAGTCTTTGACTGCAGTCATTTGGTTTGCACAAAAAACATCACATACTTAAAGCTGCAGTCCGTAAGTTTTGCCTCTTTGTCGCCATCTCTGTTTGAAAACCTGGAATTGCAGCTGTGTGCAGATTTATCTAGCTTGCGTGGGTTGTGAGCCAGCACGGCTCCAGCACGGATTAATCTAATGTTCTGAAGAGTATGTGTGGCAGTCAGTCACCGCACCGGTGTGGATATTTACTGTACTTCGCAATCACAGATTCTAGCCTACGTCTTGGAATATATGACCCAAAAAAGTATTTTTACCGTATATATTGCCATCTGAACAAGTAACAAGTCTGCCACGTTTGTTCTGACCACCTGAGGAAAAAAGCATTACCATAAATCTCGCTACCAATGGTGATTAAATCGATAGCAAGCAATAAGATGTTTAAAACTTATAAATGGAATGAATGTGAGCACTTTCAGAAAGTACACCGGTTTTAAGGCCAGTCTTTGACTGCAGTCATTTGGTTTGCACAAAAAACATCACATACTTAAAGCTGCAGTCCGTAAGTTTTGCCTCTTTGTCGCCATCTCTGTTTGAAAACCTGGAATTGCAGCTGTGTGGATATTTACTGTACTTCGCAATCACAGATTCTAGCCTACGTCTTGGAATATATGACCCAAAAAAGTATTTTCACCGTATATATTGCCATCTGAACAAGTAACAAGTCTGCCACGTTTGTTCTGACCACCTGAGGAAAAAAGCATTACCATAAATCTCGCTACCAATGGTGATTAAATCGAAAGATCGGTTAGCTCATATCACATCAAACCGTTCAAACTTTATTCTCAAATGGTTAATGTTAACAACATCAGCATTGGTGACTATGAGTATAGTGTGTATTAGCATGTAGATTTCAATTTCTGCACAGTCTAATCTAATTGTCATACTCTTCGAATTTCATATTAAGAAATTATTTTAACCCAAAAAGCAAATTATGCTCCCTTTGAACTGTATTTCTTTAAAATACAAATCTTTGTAATCCCAGGCTATCTGTAATCAGAAGCACATTTATAACTGGAATATAATTTAATTTAATTCACATATGTTTCATAAACACTTGATCCTTTCTGGATTACAATCCGCCATCAAAATGATACATTTAATTATTCTGGCTGCTGTGAGAAAAGGCTATAAACGATCCACCACCTGCAGGATCCTCACATGCCATAGCCTAGTAGCCGGGACAACTTATTTATGTTTACAGACATGACGTAATGACGCAGTGCCATACTCGAATTTCCAGCGAAAACCTACCCGTACCACTCAAATTAGAAAACATTATTATAAGCTAACCGTTGTGAATCGAGCTAAAGTAAGGCGATAGTTTTGAACACTGGCTGGTTATGTACTTGCTCAAATACTGATTTCGGATAATTTTTAACCAAAAAAAGTTACGGACTGCAGCTTTAAATCATAAAATCAAAGCTGACCCTATTTACTTCTTAAATAAATGTCTCTGGTCTTATTATGCACAGTTCAACACAGTTGAGTTTTCATAACCTCATAATTTTTCATAAATCATCTAAAATGGAATAAATTCTCTTTATTTTAAAATGAGTTTTCTTCTGACATAAGCAAGTTTAAAGGGATAGTTCACCCAAAAATTACAATTCTGACATCATTAACTCAACATCACATTGTTCCAAACCTGCACGACTCTCCTTCTTCTGCAAACCACAAAAAAAAAATTACCAAACAGTTTTAGGTCCCATCGACTTCCATTATATTTTTTGTCCAAACTATGGAAGTTATTTGGGAACCAAAACCATTTGCTTAGCGATATTCTTCAAAATATCACAGAAGAAGTCATACAGGTTTGGAACGACATGACGGGGAGTAAATAATTAACAGAATTAAAATTTTTGGATGAACTGCCTCTTTAAAGTGCCCCTATTATGGATTTTTGAAAATTACCTTTCATGCAGTGTGTAGGCCTAACACAGCTCTAAGTGATTGAAAACATCCTGCAAAGTTTTAAATCTGAAAGTACACCTTGTATAAAGTTATTGTCTCTCAAAAGAAAGAGTCGACTCTGAATCACTGAAACGAGTCGTTTTTAAAACGAATCCCAAGCCGTTTCATGTTGATGTAAACATGAAGCATTAGCATATTGCCCGCCCACTTGTTTGTCTTTTCCCTTGGTCTGAATGAAAATGCAAATTCATTCTCTGCCTCTAGGTGCCACTTTTGGAGTGGTAAAAATAGCGGTTTCCCCGGTAACGCTGTACACAAAGCAGCACTGCGCTCACAAACACTGCTTTATCGGGCATTACAGGCAGGATGAAATGTAAATGAGACCGATCAGACCAAACACCGCAGATTAGCGTCACACATAGGAGGGGTTTGGAAAAAATTAATCGTTGAGCGAATCATTTGGAGTCATTGAGCAAGTAAGGTAAAAATAAATGCATATTATAAGACAATAAAAGGTTTTTTTTGAACTTGCATGCATGTCAACCTGTTGTTGGGGACCAAAATATGAACCTTTCATTACCCATTATAGGGGCACTTAAAGGGCTTATGTGCCCACTTACATTGGTATTCTCCAGGTCGATGCTGGCTCCAGCCTCCAGCAGGATGTGGACCGCATCAACGTTGCCAGCCAGCACAGCGCAGTGCAGAGGTGAGTTTCTGTTCATTTTATCAACCGCATTCACTGAAGCGTTGCACTTTATCAGGAAGTTTGTGGGCTCAGGTCTGTGTTTCAAAACACCAAAACGACAAGGTGTGAGAAGAGAAAAATATCAGGACAGGAAAGTGTCTAACCACAGCCTACAAGATGACTCAAATCTGCTATACTTTACAATATCTGAGCTAGTCGTTTTGAGTAATGCTTCCAAAATTAAAGGTGCAGTAGGAGATCTTGGAAAATTCTAACTTTAGCCTGATCGCACTGAAAGCGAACGTCCCACCCTCCCTGCAATCGCTGTCCAAAGCCACGCCCCCTGAACGCATATACGCTCACAGACCAGAATAGGAGAGACAACATAGGCTACATCAGCGGTTTCCAATTTCAGCCCATGTTCCGAAGTGAAGTAAACTTCAACGGATTTCCCCCGCTCAGGGAGTAGGGAGCAATAAACACTGTGTAGGGATCATATCGATCAGAACACAGTTCATGCACGTAGCTCACTTCTAACGAGCTGGTTATCTGAATCGGGTGTGTTAACTAAGCGAGACCTGCAAAATATGCATTTTGGCGTAAGGACTCTGAAAGTACACCTTGTATAAAGTTATTGTCTCTCAAAAGAAAGAGTCGACTCTGAATCACTGAAACGAGTCGTTTTTAAAACGAATCCCAAGCCGTTTCATGTTGATGTAAACATGAAGCATTAGCATATTGCCCGCCCACTTGTTTGTCTTTTCCCTTGGTCTGAATGAAAATGCAAATTCATTCTCTGCCTCTAGGTGCCACTTTTGGAGTGGTAAAAATAGCGGTTTCCCCGGTAACGCTGTACACAAAGCAGCACTGCGCTCACAAACACTGCTTTATCGGGCATTACAGGCAGGATGAAATGTAAATGAGACCGATCAGACCAAACACCGCAGATTAGCGTCACACATAGGAGGGGTTTGGAAAAAATTAATCGTTGAGCGAATCATTTGGAGTCATTGAGCAAGTAAGGTAAAAATAAATGCATATTATAAGACAATAAAAGGTTTTTTTTGAACTTGCATGCATGTCAACCTGTTGTTGGGGACCAAAATATGAACCTTTCATTACCCATTATAGGGGCACTTAAAGGGCTTATGTGCCCACTTACATTGGCATTCTCCAGGTCGATGCTGGCTCCAGCCTCCAGCAGGATGTGGACCGCATCAACGTTGCCAGCCAGCACAGCGCAGTGCAGAGGTGAGTTTCTGTTCATTTTATCAACCGCATTCACTGAAGCGTTGCACTTTATCAGGAAGTTTGTGGGCTCAGGTCTGTGTTTCAAAACACCAAAACGACAAGGTGTGAGAAGAGAAAAATATCAGGACAGGAAAGTGTCTAACCACAGCCTACAAGATGACTCAAATCTGCTATACTTTACAATATCTGAGCTAGTCGTTTTGAGTAATGCTTCCAAAATTAAAGGTGCAGTAGGAGATCTTGGAAAATTCTAACTTTAGCCTGATCGCACTGAAAGCGAACGTCCCACCCTCCCTGCAATCGCTGTCCAAAGCCACGCCCCCTGAACGCATATACGCTCACAGACCAGAATAGGAGAGACAACATAGGCTACATCAGCGGTTTCCAATTTCAGCCCATGTTCCGAAGTGAAGTAAACTTCAACGGATTTCCCCCGCTCAGGGAGTAGGGAGCAATAAACACTGTGTAGGGATCATATCGATCAGAACACAGTTCATGCACGTAGCTCACTTCTAACGAGCTGGTTATCTGAATCGGGTGTGTTAACTAAGCGAGACCTGCAAAATATGCATTTTGGCGTAAGGACTGGAATTGGGAACCGCTGGGCTACATCATGTGTCATTCACCAGTGAGAAAATATTAAAAGTACTACAATACCAGGAAGGAAGATCGGGTTGTTGATGTTTGTCTGCCATTCTTGCGTGAACGTGCTGATGACGTATCATGTTTGCGCGAACCGGGTGCACAGAGATATGCTAATACTAGGGATGCTCCGATCGGTATCGGCCGATAATCATATTTTATGACTCAATCGGTACTCACCAACTTGGCCGATCTCAGGAACCGATCGCAATTTGATGACGTCAACGCGTGACGACGTACAAAATGCGTGGGGACATAAATTATTTGGCACCGCAGTCATGTCATCACCGGTGTGGAAATGTTATGACATTTCGAGAAACAATGAAATATTCGCTGTTTGTTGTGTATGTTTTGCATGATGATATGATGAATAGATGGTTAATTTTTAATAGCAGATTCAGTGACGTTGATCTGTGCCTCACTGCACGCGTCTGCGGCGCATTACGGCTCCACGGCCACCGGAGCTGATCGCGGCCGCTCTAGTCAGTGCTTGTGTTTATCAGTCAGCTGCGGCATGTTTCTGAAGCGGCTAACGCTGCTTTATCAGGCATAAAACATGCGAGATGAAATGAAAATGACATCGAACATTTTCTAAAGATAGTCTTCCTTCAGAAATACAGTGATATAAAAACACCCGCACCTACCAGCAGTACGTGCTCATGTTTATTCAACGAAGCCTTTTGAAAAATCCGTCAGTTTTGATATTGTGGTGAGCGCCACAAATAAATAAATGTATGGGAAACACATCCCACAGCACAACCACCTGAGCCCAACTTCAGTCTTCTCATCACCTTAACTTTAACTGCGTTTGTAGCCAGCGCCATAGCCAGACTGATAAACAAACACAGACCGGTAGTTAACTTTGGGCCAGGCGCGTGCGCCCATTGAAACTGTCTATATAAAGCTTGAAGCATCAGAATTGGCATCGGTATCGGCCGATCATCATAACAAGAAATCGGTACTCAGTATCGGCTGCAAAAATCTTGATCGGAGCATCCCTAGCTAATACATAAGTTGACAGGCAGGTAGGAAAGCCAATTAAATCACTCGGACCGAGCATTTTGATTGGATGAACATTTCTTGGTCCTACGCCTTCCACAGAATATATAAATACATTTAGACCACTTAACTTAATGATTGTTATTGGGATTAGGGGTGTGCGATATTGACAAAAAATTATATCTCGATATTTTCTGTGATTTTATCAATAACGATAATTAAACGATATTTTGTTGAGTGTGTTATTTTGCTGGTACCTTAAGGACTGCCGAAGACAGCTGACTCCTAATGTTTTTAATATTCTTCATATTCTGTGTGGTGGTCAGTTCATACTGATAGAAATTAATCTTTTCCAATAAGTTTAAACTGATTTTTGCATTTTATGGGCATTTTTACCTTTATAAAGCCATTTTTTCTAAAAGTGTCCATTATCTTTTGAGTCAAATTCTTACATTTAATCAGGGAATTAGAATAATAAGACATTTGGGCTGTTACCAAGCAAATTCAATCAACACAGAAGCTGCATCTGAAGTGGCATTTAGATGTATTTACACACATGTATTTTGTCACCGTCATGTTGCTCAGAGATGCAAAACAGCGCTGTGGCTGTATTCAGAATGATTTTTGTTGGCGAATTAGAGCAAAAACAAGCAATACGGTGTCTAAAACGTAAGTCTCTTAATTAACTGATTGTTTATTGAATTCAATGGTAATTTTTGGAGAAAAACGGCACTCTTCGTGTGAAATTGAATAACTATATGAAGTGGTATAAATTTATACATTTTCTGCCATCATGTCTTGAATTTGTGATCATTCTAAATGCATTTTAATAAACTGAATCATGCGGTGAAAGAAAACACACTAAATGCGCACACGCACTAGTCTAGACTTCACGTAATGTATGCGTGCGCTCTGTAGGGATGTTTTGAATGGTTTTTGCAAAATACTCTATAATGTCAAATCGCACATCGTTAAAACAACATATCGCAGACGATATATATCGCACACCCCTAATTGGGATGTGAAGAGACTTTCAACCAGCATAACAAAATATGTTTCTGAAGACAATCACCTATTGCACCTTTAACACGCACTGTAGGCCAAATGCCTGTACAAGATGCCTATAAATTAGAAATGACAGATATAAAATTGTACACATGCTGTTCAAAAATTTGGAGTTGGTGAGACATTTTAATGTTTTTGAAATAAGTATCTTATTTATGCTCACCGAGGCTGTATTTATCTGCATCTCTACACGTATTAAATTTAAAAAACGGTTTCATAGTTACTTCTTAATTGGCAGATGTGTAAAAAAAAAAAAAAAACTAAACTTCAAAGCCTGATTGAGTTGACTGGTCATCTTACCCGATGATTTTTTGTGCTGCCAGCATTAGTGGAGTTTGTCCATTTATGTCCGGCGAATCCACTTCCTACAACAACACGGGAACAAGAATAGTATTCAACCGCATTACTCAGTATTCAAACCTTCCATCGTTATTTAAAATGTCACTTTGTGCTTGTGTCACACCTGTCCTTTGGCCATAAGGAACGCAGCGATGGGCATATGCTGGAAGAGCACAGCCAGATGGAGACCCCGATACCCTTCACCGTCTGCTAATGATGGATCGGCTCCATATCGCATCAGCTGAATGACCATAGACAAATGACCCTGTCTGTTCAGGGGTGACCGGGAACAACATCAGCAGATATAAAACATGCTCAAGTGCCACTTTTAGAACCGACATTGTTCAAAGCCATTTTTGCACTGGTTTTAACTGACAGTGTTTTGGTGATTTTAGTGGATAAATGCAGATGTCAGTTCTTCAAGATCACACAGGTGTAGTTCATTACATTTACTAAGACATGTTCCACTATGTAAGGTCATTGCAAATTTATTGCTGTATATATCTGAAACATACCGTATGGCCCAGTGGAGTGGTGTTGAATTCAGGTCACCGCCTAGCTGGTCTATGACAGCTCCTTTAGATATGTAGTATCTATGAAACACAGCAGAACATATGCAAATACAAGTAAGAATAGGTTTAATAAGTGAAGTGATTTACGTGTTGCAACTGTTTAATAGTAATGTACACTGGCTGCCAAAAGTTGGGAATAATTAATTTTTTCAAATGCTTTTGAAAGAAGTCTCTTAAGGCTGTATTTACTTGATCGAAAATACAGTAAAAATAGTAATATTACAGTTTAAAAAGACCTGTTTTCTATTTACATATATTTTTTTAATGTAATTTATTCCTGTTATGGCAAAGCTGAGATTTCGAATAAATGCTGCATCACAAAAACTAAAATGTTAAGCAGCAAAAACTGTTTTCAATATTGATAATAATAATAAGAAGAAGAAGAAGAAGAAACATTATTAGCTGAGCACTAATAATATAATAATTGTGCACAAAATCATCACATTAGAATGATTTCCGAAGGATCATCTGACACTGAAGAGAAGACTGGAGTAATGATGCTGAAAATTCAGCTTGGCATCACAGGAATAAATTACATATTAAAATATTTCTGATCAAATAAATGCAGTCTTGGTGAACATAAGAGATTATTTCAAAAACATTTAAAAACCTTAAATATTCCAAACTGCATGGGAAAAAAAAAACAACAACATGAAAACAACAAAAAATCTTACTTGACAATATCTGCTCGATTATTGATGGCGGCCCAATGGAGAGGTGTAACATTCTCTTTGTCAGGCTGCCTAACGTCATAACCAGACTCGATAAGTTCTTTACACCTCTCAAGAGCACCAAACCTACAATTTAAAATAAACAAGAGAAAGAAAGATGCTGATTTCTTTTTTTTTTCATCAGAATTGACTTGATTGAACATGTATACCCACATACAATGCAGGTTTTCTGCATGAACAAAAGATCTGCATCGTCTAATGGAAATGAACTATTTGAGCAGTGTGAAGCATGCAGGTGAGACAACAGATATGGACGCTGCTTGAGTTAATAGAAAGCCAGATATTACAACAGCACAATAGTATTGTGTATTTGTTTTGTCTGCTTCTACACAAAGGGAAGATGAATGATCTGTTTACACAATCTTTCTACTCGCTACTGAACAGCTAGATTTCAGAGTAAGATCAAGAACATATGTGAAATATTTACTGGATGCTTGAAATATCCCTACATTGTTTAACTCTCAATAACACGGACCATTCAGGACCATTATGAGGTTTTGCATTGTCAATTAAGCACATTTCAACTAGAGGTCGACCGATATATCGGTTTTGCCGAATAATCGGCACCGATAGTTGATTGCTGGAACTATCGGTGATCGTCAAAAATTTATGCCGATAGTTTTCCCGGGTTGTGTCCATTGCTGGAGCGGCTGAGAAGGGTCTGCTGCCATTACACAGTGCGAGAGCGGCCTCTAGTGGTTGAAATCACTGCCAGCACGTGCTATTTGTTTAGACACGTGATGCTGCACGCTGAACAGAGCGGGAAACTTCAGACGCGGATTTAAATGCAGCCGACAGAAAATCCTGCAGTGCCACAGAGCGCCATTCACATAGTTTTCCTTTAAATTACATTATATTGGTCCCGAATCGTTGTTAATGTACATAATGAATTGTGTATTGTGCATTTTCAGCAAAACGTTTGTCTTTCTGTGGCTCTAATAAAGTCTGTGTGCTTCATTTATAGAGCTATAATATAGGTCGCGCTTTCTCTTTCCGTTTGCTCCGTTTTTTAAACACCGAACTTCAAACTCATCTATACCAAATTGTTCATTCTTGAAGTAAACTTGTGTCTTTTTTTTTACTACTACTACTACTAGTACTAGTACTATCGGTATCGGCAAAATGTACTATCGGTCGACCTCTAATTTCAACTCCAATAATCTATATTGCATTACAAAAAAATCCTGTAAAACAGTAAATGCAAAATCTGGGAGAGAAAAAAAATTAAAAAAAAAAAAAGTGACGTCAAATGTGGCCAAGTATGGTTACCCATACTCGGAATTAGTGCTCTGCATTTAACCCATCCTAAGTGCACACACACAGCAGTGAACACACACCCGGAGCAGTGGGCAGCCATTTTTATGCTGCGGCGCATAAGGAAGCAGTTGGGGGTTCGGTGGGAGAGCGCTTTACATTCACTCCCCCCACCTACAATCCCTGCCGGTACGAGACTCGAACTCGCAACCTTTAGGTTACGAGTCCAACTCTCTAACCATTAGGCCACAACTTCCCCCAGACTCTACTATTCAAAAGTTTAGTGATCAGTATGATTATACGAGTATGATGTTATAGGTATTATTCTTTTGAACTTTCCATTCTTAAAATAAATCCTGACAAAATACATCACAGTTTCCAAACTGTTATCAACACTGATGATAAGAAGAAATGTTTCTTGAGCAGCAAATCACCGGTACGAGACTCGAACTCGCAACCTTTAGGTTATGAGTCCAACTCTCTAACCATTAGGCCACAACTTCCCCCAGACTCTACTATTCAAGTTTAGGGATCAGTATGATTATACGAGTATGATGTTATAGGTATTATTCTTTTGAACTTTCCATTCTTAAAATAAATCCTGACAAAATACATCACAGTTTCCAAACTGTTATCAACACTGATGATAAGAAGAAATGTTTCTTGAGCAGCAAATCAGCATATTAGAATGATTTCTGAAGGATCTGCTGAAAGTTCATTTTACAATTGCATTTTAAATTATATTAAAACATAGAATTGTTCTTTTAAATTTGTAATAATAATATATTAAAATATATTAAAAACTCATACTGACCCCAAACGTTTGAACAGTATGTAAAATATATAACATATGTTTTAAATTATAAGGATACTTTATTTAATTTTGCACCATATTTACACATTATGGCAGAATTTGGAATACTATTTTTATGCAAACTTTTAAAAATGTAAAAACTACATATAATTATACAATAATTGTCTCTTTTTTTTTTAAATGAGGGGGAATTTGTTTAATTGTTGAAGTTTTTTTATTATTATTATTTAGGAGTGAAATCTGATCGGAGCATCAATTTTGTGAGATTCACACTTAAACTAATTCCTCTAATCACACAAATACTTTTAGTACTTATTTAATTTTGCACCATATTTACACATTATGGCAGAATTTGGAATACTATTTTTATGCAAACTTTTAAAAATGTAAAAACTACATATAATTATACAATAATTGTCTCTTTTTTTTTAAATGAGGGGGAATTTGTTTAATTGTTGAAGTTTTTTTATTATTATTATTTAGGAGTGAAATCTGATCGGAGCAACAATTTTGTGAGATTCACACTTAAACTAATTCCTCTAATCACACAAATACTTTTAGTATACAGCTGGGACAAAATCTCCAGGGCATCTTAATAGCATCACCAGCAGCTAAACATTCCGCTCTGATTATTAAGTGTAATCCCATTGTGTTTATTGCACGTCAAGGGAATAAGTCTCACTGTGTCGCTTTGACGATATCCCAGGAACTGCTGTCCTCCGGATGCGAGACCTTCCTCGGCTGCTGCGTGGGATCGAGAGGCCCCGGGACCAGCTGGCCGTGGAAGCCACCGGGCATAAAACCGCTAAATCCAGGTCCTCCATGACCGTGGGAGTGGCTTCCGCCGTGTCCATGGCAACTGTCACCCATGTGACCATGGGAGTGGCACTGTAAAATAATTTACAACACAAGTTATTTCTGACAAATTTTAAGGTTAACATCAAATGCGCCTGGTTTTGAAAATGAACAAACTGAATTTGTTTTCTACACACATCCACTGCCAGATGTGTGTAGAAAACGTATTACTATTATTCATATTAGTAGCAATGGTTGTAGTAACAAGAGCATGCCAAGGCCGGTCATGTGACATGAACATGGCAGTGCCCAGGAGGGAGACTCTCTCCATGTAAAATAAAACAGATTGTTCTAGAGGACCAACAGGTCTGGGGTCTCCATGCCAAATTATATTTAATTACTTAAAAAGCAAACATGTTTAATGTATTATTTTTTTAATTAACAAACAATATGAGTGCACATTTAAACAAAAGACAGAGATTTAGTTCAGCTCGGTACATGTTGCTAGTAAACATCTGATTTGCCTTCTTGTAGTGATGGTTTGAACTTTTAATATGCTAATGTAACCTTCCTATTATCTGAAAACTGTAGCTGACCCATAAACATGTTCTATATTTAGCCAATATTTATGGTCAGTTACTGCCAATCAAAGACAATAATCAAGCTTGGGCTTGTTTTCCAGATCTAATCAAATAATTACATGTATAAAATGTACAGTGCTAGTTGAATAGTTGATCGATCAGCACGTACACACATAGACACAGGTGATCAGTTAGCTATAGATGCTAAGTTAGCTTAACCGGTCTAATGAATCCATTTAATGAGGAAACAAAAGAGAATATAAAACATTTTCTCTCTTACTCCGTCTCCTTCTGACCAGTCCATCACTTCTGCGCGAGGTTACAAGTGATTGATCATGAAGAATTTACGCTGACAGAGACTGAAGTCGGGCGTGCGTTCGGCGCATCTTCCACTTCCTGGATACGAGTGACAAATCCTGCGCTCTGATTGGCCGCTTTGTCTCAGTGACGTCGCTTTTGTTTGCCTTTTTCAGAATCAGAATCAGAATGAGTTTTTATTGCCAGGTATGTTTACACATACGAGGAATTTGTTTTCGTGACAGAAGCGTCCACAGTGTAACAGAATGACAGTGACAGAACAAAAAACACAGATAATAAAAAATAAAAATAGAACAAGTAAAATAAGGAATAAAAATATACAAATCGACAATTGTATGTACAGGTATATAACAACAGACAGTTGTATGTACAGGTATATTATGCGCAAATTGAAATTTACAAAAAAAAATTGTATTTCCTTCCGAACAAGAGCGCATTCCTGTCTGTCTACCGACAGAGACAGGAGCCTTCGTATGTCAGAAATGCAGACAATCGTTACATCAGGTTTTACACTCTGTGTGGGTCATATGCCAGTTAAACAAGCTGTTCCGGTTCAGTTTGTGAAACACTGTGAAAACAAAGCATATGCGAATGAGATTGTTTTCAGGCATTGTGTGAATTTATTAAAATAATAAATCTAATCACACTATTCCAGGTTTCTACAGAGCTAACAAAAAATTCCTTGATAATAGCCTACTATTTTAGTAGGCTATATGATATCATGCAAATATACTCTTTTTGGACAAACCCTAACACTACTCCTAGAAAACTTGTTGTATTCTTCTTCTTTTTTTATATAAAACTAAGTACAGTTTTCCTTTTTTATGAATGTGTAGCCTAGGCTATATGTCCCCAAAGTATAAATGTACACATAGATACGCATATATTTGCCTATACATGTTACATGTGTCACATGTGCATTTGCATTGTCGTTGGTACAGAAACAAAAAATGTAAATACAAGATGTTAAGTATTATCTTATGCTGACTGAATCTAGTTTAACTGGGCTGCTGCAGGTTTAAGAACACCGATGATATTGTCAGTTCAGTAAAGCATAGCAGTGTGGCAGAATGTGTTTTTTTAGCGCATCAAACCCGTAATAAACCACAACACCTTTTTTAAAAGGTCTTGAGAAACAATTATCATTAACTGGTCATTCATTAAATAACTGACCATTTTTTGAGATCATTTAACCAACAGGAGGAGTTTAATTGCTATTTTTGAATACCTGGATGTTATGAGCAGTGTTGGGGGTAACTCATTACAAGTAATGCGAGTTACGTAATCAGATTACTTTTGTCAAGTAACTAGTAAAGTAACGCATTACTTTTTTAATTTACAAGAAAATATCTGAGTTACTTTTTCAAAAAAGTAATGCCAGTTACTTTGTTTTCCCATTTATTGACTGACAGCTCTCCTGTCCCCATATTGGGAGAAATCAGAAGTGCAGAGGCGTTGTGTGCGCTGTGTGAACATGATGTAGCCTAGTTCTAGACTAAATGTGAATGTGCATTAATTCATCCCTCTCACAAAAAAACAGATTTAGTATTAATCAAAATGAATTAAAACAGTGAAATACAAACTCAGAATATGACGCAAAACTGCAATGATTAAATTTGTTAAATAACACAAATGTATCTAATCCCATTTTATTAACCGATATCTTTGCTGCTGACCTTTGCTGATCCGGCTCAACCATACTAATAAGCAAAAATTACTTTAGATAAACTAACAATTGTGCTTCATTGTTTTTTATTGCTGAAGAGGGTTTCTTCTGCGTTCTACTGTACAGACGTGAATTTACTTTTGCTTCAGCCTGAGGTTTATTCATTACACTTTTTGGTGTGAAAGGGCTTTTACATTTGCTATAAATAGAACTTCTTATATTAAAAACAATCAAGCCCTGCTCATATTTAAACGGTAACGTGAAAGTAACGCAAAAGTAATATAACGCATTACTGTCCATAAAAAGTAACTAAGTAACGTAATTAGTTACTTTTTTAGGGAGTAGCGCAATATTGTAACGCATTACATTTAAAAGTACATTTCCCCAACACTGGTTATGACATGTAGTTGAATTCCTTCCTTTTCCTTCCAAGATCTGGGACATAAACTTTTAAAAATAAAGATTCCATAGAACTTTTCCATTGCACAAAAGGTTCACTGATATATACCTTTTGGAACCTTTATTTTTAAGAGTGTATAGTGATCACCAGATGGCAGCATATCCTGTAAGTTACTACTGGAAGCTCCTCAGCCAGGAAAAACCCCTCAAAGCATTTTGTTGCCAGTACAGAACTATTGATCATGTTGCCACAGATCAATCAAAGCCTGAAGAGATCCATCACTTCACACTCCTGTGAATTACTGTCTCCAAACCACACTCAACTGGACCTGAACCAGAGATAGAGATATTACACAATCACAGACACTTACCTAAAGACACATCTATCTATCTGCTGTCCTCCGGTTGTGAGACTTCATAATCTATCTATCTATCTATCTATCTATCTATCTATCTATCTATCTATCTATCTATCTATCTATCTATCTATCTATCTATCTATCTATCTATCATCTGTCTGACTGACTGACTGTCTGTCTGTCTGTCTGTCTGTCTGTCTATCTATCTATCTATCTATCTATCTATCATCTGTCTGACTGACTGACTGTCTGTCTGTCTGTCT